TACTAAACTGTACTTACATGTTTTTATTTTTAAAACTCAACTCTTCTCATCACAGCATATCAGGGATCACATGATGGCTACATTACATCACTGTTGATTCTAGCCTTGATTACCTGGTTAAGGTGGTGTTTGCTAAGTTTCTCCACCATGAAACTGTTTATCCCTTTCACTATTCTATTCTTTGGAAATGAGTTACTAAACATAGCCTACCTTCAAGGGGGAAGCAGGAAGGTGGGAATTAAGCTCCATCTTCTGAAAGGGGAGTATCTATATAAGAATCCCCATATTATTTGGAATTATTCTGTAAAGAAGGTCTGGCTCTTCTCTCCTCATTTTATTCAATATTATTTGTATTACTATAGACTGATATAGTTATTTCATACATTGAGTCATAATTTAATACTTTGTTATTTATTTGGTCTTTCAAAATGTTCCAACTTTGGACCTTACATGCCAGGAGAGAGTGGCATAACGTATTTAAACACTGAAGGAAAAAAAAGTATACCCTAGAGTAGCATATCCAGCAAAAATACCCTTCAAACATGAAGGAGAAATAAAGACTTTCCCAGATGAACTAAAGCTGAGGAATTTCATGAACACGAGACCTATTTTACAATAAATTCTAAAGGGAGTACTCCAATCAGAAAGAAAAGGACATTAATGAGCAATAAGTAATCACTTGAAGGTACAAAACTCACTGGTAATAGTAAGTACCAAGAAAAACATAGAATATTAAAACAATGTAACTGTGATATGTAAACCACTCTTGCCGTAAGTTGAAAGACTAAACAATGAACCAATCAAAAATAATAACTACAACAACTTTTTAAGACATAGATAATACAATAAGATATAAATTTAAACAATAAAAAGTTAAAAATTGGGGGGACAAAGTTAAGGTGTAGAGTTTTTACTAGTTTTCTTTTTGCTTTTTTATGCAGTGTTAAGTTGTTATCAGGTTAAAATAATGGCTTATAAGATAGTGTTTGTAAGTCTTATGGCAATCTCAACTCAGAAAACATACAGTGGATAAACAAAAAATAAAAAGCAAGAAACTAAATCGTATTACCGAGAAAATCATCTTCACTAAAGGAAGACAGGAAGGAAAGAAAAAAGGAAGAGAACACCACAAAACAACCAGAAAACAAATTTTAAAATGGCAGGAGTAAGTCCTTACTCATCAATAACAACATTGAATGTAAATGGACTAAACTCTTTAATCAAAAGACAAAGACTGGCTGACTGAGTGAAAAAATAAGACCTGTTGATCTATTGCCTTCAAGAAACACACTTCAACTATAAAGACAGACATAGACTGAAAAAAAAAAGGAATGGAAAAAGATATACCATACCAATGGAAACCAAAAAAAGCAGGAGTAGTCTTATCAGACAAAATAGATTTCAATCCAAAAACTTTAACAAGAGACAAGATCACCATATAATGATAAAAAGGGGTCAATTTAGCAAGAGGATATAATAATTTAAAATATATATGCACCCAACACTGGAGCATCTGGATATATAAAGCGAATATTATTAGAATTAAAGAGAGAGATAGGCCCCAATATAATAGTAGCTGGAGACTTCAATAACCTACTTTCAGCATTGAACAAATCTTCCAGCCAGAAAATCGACAAACATTGGACTTAATGTGCACTGTAGACCAAATGGATCTAATATATATTTACAGAACATTTCATCCAATGACAGCAGAATATACATTGTTTTCCTTAGCACGTGGATCATTCTCAAGGATAAAACATACGTTAGGTCACAAAACAAGTCTTTAAAAATTCAAATAATTGAAATAATACCAGACATCTTCTCTGACCACAATGGAATAAAACTGTAAATCAATAACAAGAGGAATTTTGGAAACTATACAAACATATGGAAATTATAAAATATGCTCCTGAATCACCAGTGGGTAAATGAAGAAATTAAGACAGTTGAAAAATTTCTTGAAACAAATGATAATGGAAACACAACATACCAAAACCTATGGGATACAGCAAAGCAGTACTAAATGGGAATTTTATAGCTCTAAGTGCCTACATCAAAAAAGATGAAAAATGTCAAACAGTCTAATAATACACCTTAAAGAACTAGAAAAGGAAGAGCAAACCAAACCCAAAATTGGTAGAAGGAAAGAAACAATAAAGATCACAGCAAAAATGAATGAAATTAAAATGAAGAAAACAATACAAGAGATCAATGAAACGAAAATCTGGTTTTTTTGAAAGTTAAACAAAATTGACAAACCTTATAGTCTGACTAACTGAGAAAAAAGAAAGTCTAAATAAATAAATTCAGAAATGGAAAAGTAGACATTACAACTGATACTGCAGAAATTCAAAGGATAATTAGAGGCTACCATGAGCAACTATATGCCATTAAATTGGAAAATCCAGAAGAAATGGACAAATTCCTATACATATATAACCTACCAAGATTGAACCAGGAAGAAATCCAAAATCTGAACAGATCACTGACAAGTAATGAGATCAAAGCCATAATAAAAAGTCTCCCAAGAAACAAAAACCCAGGACCCAATGGCTTCACTGAATCCTACCAAACATTTAAAGAACTGATACAAATTCTACTCAAATTATCCTGAAATATGGAAGAGCATGGAATAATTCCAAACTCATTCTACAACACCAGTATTACTGTGATACCAAAATCAGACAGACACAACAAAAAAGAAAACTACAGGCAAATCTCTCTGATAAATATTCATGCAAAAATTCACAACAAAATATTAGCAAACCAAATTCAACAGTATATTAGAAATCTCATTCATCATAACCAAGAGGAATTTATCCCAGGGGTGCCAGGATGATTCAACATATGTAAATCAATCAATGTAATACATCATATCAACAGAATGAAGGATAAAAATCATATGATCATTTAAATTCAATATATCAAATTGAAATATCAAATGCTGAAAATGTATGTGATAAAATTCAACATCTCTTTATGATAAAAACCTTCAAAAAACTAGGTATAGAAGGAACATACCTCAACATAATAAAGCCATATATGACAGACCCCCAGCTAGTATCATACTAAATGAGGAAAAAACTGAAAGACTTTCCTCTAAGATTTGGAATATGACAAAGATGCTCACTTTCACCACTGTTATTCAACATAGTACTGAGGTCCTAGCTAAAGCAATCAGACAAGAGAAAGAAATAAAGGACATCCAAATTGGAAAGGAGTAAACCAAATTATCCTTGTTTACAGATGACATGATTTTATATTTGGAAAACTCTAAAGACTCCACAAAAAAAAAAAAGATGAGAACTGATAAACAAATTCAGTAAAGTTTCAGGATACAAAATCAACATACAAAAATCAGTAACATTTCTTTATGCCAATAGTCAACAATCTGAAAAAGAAATAAAAAAGTAATCCCATTTATAATAGCCACAAATAAAATTAGGTACCTAAAAACTTAACAAAGAAGTGAAAGATCTCTGTAATGAAAACTATAAAACATTGGTGAAAGAAATTGAAGAGGACACCAAAAAATGGAAAGATATTCCACATTCAGTGTTTGGAAAATCAGTACTGTTGAAATGTTCATACTACCCAAAGCAATCTACAGATTCAAAGCAATCTCTATCAAAGTACCAATGATGTTCTTCACAGAAATAGAAAAAACAATCTTAAAATTTATATGAAACCACAAAAGACCCAGAATAGCCAAATATATCCTAAACAAAAAGAATAAAACTAGAGGAATCACACTACCTTACTTCGAATAATACTACAAAGCTATGGTAAGCAAAACAGCCTGGTACTGACATAAAAACAGAGACATAGACCAGTGAAACAGAATATAAAACCCAGAAACAAATTCACACACGAACGATGAACTCATTTTTAACAAAGGTTCCAAGAATATACACTGGGAAAAAGACAGCCTCTTCAATAAATGGTGTTGGTAAAATTGGATATCCATATGCAGAAGAATGAAACTAGAGCCCTATTTCTCATTATACACAAAAATCAAAATGGATTAAAGACTTAAATCTAAGACCTCAAACTACGAAACCACTATCAGAAAATATTGGAGAAAATCTCCAGGACATTGGTCTGGGCAAAAATTTTTTACTCCACAGGCACAGGCAACCAAAGCAAAAATGGACAAATGGGATCACATCAAGTTGAAAAGCTTGGCTATATAAATTACCAAGATTTAGAATCAACCTAAGTGTCCATCAACAGATCAATAGATAAAGATAATATGGTATGTATACACAATGGAGTGCTATTCAGCCATAAAAAAGAAAGAGATACTGTCATTTGCAAGAACATGGATGGAACTGAAAGTCATTATGTTAAGTGAAATAAACCAGGCACAGAAAGACAAGCATCACATGTTCTCACACATTTGTGAGATCTAAAAATAAAAACAATTGTACTCATGTACATAGAGCATAGAAAGATGGTTACCAGAGGATTGAAAGGATAGTAGGGGCCTGAGGGTGGGGTGAGGAAGGTTAATGGGTATTTTAAAATAGTTCAAAAGAATGAATAAGGCCTAGCATTTAATAGCACAACAAGGTGACTATAGTCAATAATAATTACACATTTAAAAATAACTAAAACAGTGTAATTGGATTGTTTGTAATACAAAGTATAAATGCTTGAAGGGATGGATACGTGATTCTCCATGATGTGATTATTACACATTGCATGCCTGTATCAAAATATCTGATTTACCCCATAAATATATACACCTACTATGTACCCACAAAAAAATTTAAAAAAAAAACAACAACAAAAAATTCTTCCAACTTTGGAAACTTTGGAAAGTTATCAACAATAATAAAAAAGAACATATCACAATGCACTAAGTAGGAATATAATAATGAGGTTCATATTTCACTGCAAAGCCATTATGAACTGTCCAAAAGATTCTAGGAACACATTGCCCCATGATTTCTATGGTTGTTTATAACCTGTCTATCTGAATGTTTCCTTTGCAGTTGCAATCCCAGCGTACCAAAACAGAGAGTGATGAAGTTGACAAAGATGGTGCTGGTGCTAGTGGCAGTCTTTATCCTAAGTGCTGCCCCTTATCATGTGATACAACTGGTGAACTTACAGATGGAACAGCCCACACTGGCCTTCTATGTGGGTTATTACCTCTCCATCTGTCTCAGCTATGCCAGCAGCAGCATTAACCCTTTTCTCTACATCCTGCTGAGTGGAAATTTCCAGAAACGTCTGCCTCAAATCCAAAGGAGAGTGACTGACAAGGAAATCAAAAATATGGGAAACACTCTGAAATCACACTTTTAGGAAAGTACATGGATCACCATGAGTCTAGACATGATTATCTTACTGGTATTATTAGAAAGGGCAGGTGTACCGATATGTTTATGCCCATTTTTCTTGTGTACTTGTGACTCTTAGCAGCATGGAACAGAAGTGTAACTATGCAAATGCAATGAGTTTAATATGCTAACTTTAGCAAGCTGTAAAATGTTAATCTATATTGTGGGTAGGGAATGGGATAGTCTAAGATACCCAAGCTTCATGATGGCGTATATTATTCCAGCATGTTATAAACTAGTCACTAATGCAAATGGCCATCCATGACCATTGACTCAAAACTCACCAAGGAACCTGACCTTGCCCTCCACACTGTGGCCTCACTGTAACAGTTTCCTCAAGGTTCCTAGGAGGGTATCACTTCACAGTGAAGTCTGAAATTTGGCTATTTTTTATCTACAAATATGTTGGTTTTATATGGTCCAATCTAATACCTTCAACAACTAAGCCCTACCTTTCAGAATAACAGTTACCATTTATTGCACACATGCAATGTGTAAGATTACATGTAACAAACCTGTGAAATAAGTATTATTACCTTTGTTTACTACGGCTCAGGAAGGAGATATGCTAGGCCTAATGCTGCAACAGCTATCTAAGAGCCAGGCTAATAATGTTCAGCTCTGCCTGTTTCTTTTCTACTGCACCATCTTGGCAACCTTTACTTATTATACTGGAGAACTCAGTAACTTGGAGTTTCTTTTGCTTTCTCCTATAGCCCTGCAAGGGGAGAACTAAAGTCTGATAGAAACGAGTTGATGTTTAAGCATCCTTTTGGATTACCTTTGTTCTCACACCTGCAAACTGTAGAAACTGGTATCTGCACTTTAATAATAATACTTTACTTCTGGACTTTAAGCTTCATTAAGAAACATTCCTGGCCGGGCTCAGTGGCTCATGCCGGTAATCCTAGCACTTCAGGAGGTGGAGGCGGGTGGATCACAAGGTCGGGAGTTCAAGACCAGTCTGGCCAACATAGTGAGATCCTGTATCTACTAAAAATACAAAAAAATTAACCGAGCATGGTGGTGCGTGCCTGTAGTCCCAGCTACTCAGGAGGCTGAGGCAGGAGAATCGCTTGAACCCAGGAGGTGGAGGTTACAGTGAGCCAAGATCATGCCACTGCACTCCAGCTTGGGCAACAGAGTGAGACTTCATCTCAAAAAACAAACAAAAAAACCAAGAAACATTCCCTTTAGGTTACAGTATACATGTTTGTTCTAAGGTACAAAAAGTAATTAGCCCTTAAATTTTCATAGGTATTCATTATATCTATATTTTCCTCTTTAGACTTACATATAGTTAGGCAAGCAAACAATGCATTTAATGCCTGGGTTCTACACTAAGACAAATATCGTTATTTTGTTTGTGGATAAAGTCTGTAAACCCACCTTCTTCATCTAAATACATTAAATTTGTTTACTCCATAAACATCGGAAACCAATTTTCAATCAGCCCTTTTTAGAAAAAGACTTAACCATTTTTATATCTGATCTCCATTTTTATATCTAATTGTGTTTGGATAAACTTGTATTTGAATCAACCCAGACGTGATTTTTAACCCTATTTATTTTATTCTAGAATTTTTAGGCACAATTTCAGAACTGGATAGTATCTAAATGCATATCTGGATGAATGGCTCCGTAAACAACATGAGAACTACACACTGAGACAGGTAGCATCTGAAACATTTTATTTCCATAGCTGAGGTCTAGAGACCTACATAAGCAGCTGAATGCTCCTGTAAAACGTCAATGAGAAGCTGTCATGGCCACAATTTCAGAGGTCTTCATTCTCACTTTTCTAAGGTGCAACAGCTCAGACTCAGTGAATAATACTGACTTCTGAAGACCCAGCACAATGGGTCAGAAATATCTTATTATGTGATAATTGAAAAGCAATTGTTTACTTTCATTGTCTTTTTTAATACAGAAAAAATTATGATTTTAAAGACTCAGTTTTAAACCACAGACCTTTTTCTAGTAGCATTCCCAATAGTCCTCAAACAATTGGTCAGTGAATTATTTTAAATTTTATTTACTAAGAGTCATAAGGAGCTTTAGTTTAATCAAAGTAGAAAATAAAAAGGGTGACTAATAAATTTATCTTTGTCCCTTTATATAGCCTTTCTATGCATAAGCATATTTATATGCAGATTTACAGAGGTGGCTTGATACAGACTCTTTATGTGTTTTATATGTTTGGCCATCATATGTATACAGGTTTACTTTCAAATGAAGTTAATAGTGATAGTTGGGTATTTGTCACTCAGTCAAATAATAATTGTATCCTTATTCTATTCTTATTCAATTGTAGGTGCCTCGTTTAAACTTTGATCATCAATTAATAAAAGTGAATGAGTAAGAATTGCTTGTATATTAATTTACCTCTGGCTTGTAGCTTCTACTTTTAAGATTTTCTATAAGGGATTTTATATTCTCTTAATGGAAATAGTTTCTCCTGAACAAAGACCAAATGTTTCAGAATTAGTAAAATGTATCTTAAATATGGCCAGTAGTTTGAAGGCACTTGTTATCATAACAAATTGTCAGAAACCTAGACTCTTGTATTATGTCCCAGAAATTACTGCTTTTGTGGGTTATAATGTCACAGGCTCATGGAACCTTGAATCTGAAAGATACTTTAGAGACTATCAAGTGTTAAAGGTGAGAAAAATGAGCCACAATTAAACCAAATTATTTTTAACACAGTTCATTGTGTGTCTAGAGACCTACACCTAAAAAGCAGCTACAAACTAGCCCTGAGTCCTTTCTACCAAACCATAGTCCCTGTGGAACACTGATACAGTTGATAATAGCTATAACAAATAATTAAAAGTTTACTGAGTAAATCAAGATTGTATAATTATGCTCTAAAAGTTGTCAAATTTTAAAGAAATACCTGATTCAGAATTTACTTGGATTACTTGTCAGAATGGCAGACATTAATTATCCATTCTCTTCACAGAGCTCTACGGAATCAGCCCAAAGCAAAATAGAGAAATTAACAAGATTTTCTTTACTGCCCCCAATTTTTTGTTGACAGCTCTCTACACCAATAATTTAGTTCATTCTACAAAATGCCTCCTATCTCACCTAAAGTTAGGAACAGCGCTACACTCCGTACAGTTACAATTCCTTTATGACATCACCCTAGCAGGGGTAGCATCAGATTTTTCCATTTGCCATTTTAGCAATTAGTTTAGATGTAGCTATAGTCCACTCAAAAGACTATACTTAATTGGTATCTTGATTTCTTGTGTTTGTAAATTCATCATTTAACACATATTTACAGAATACTCTATCTCCAAGGCACTGTGCTGAGCTCCACTGAGAATAATTTTTTTTAATGCCTAAGACATTACCTCATCTCAAGAACTGAAAATCCAGTGTCTCCTATGATTCCTGTAGATCAACTGTACCCACTTAGGTGTCCCAGAGAACAATCTACAGTGGTTTCTTGATTCTAAAATACAATTCATATAATATACCATTAATTTAATGACTGCTTTGGGGAGTAAAAACACAACATTCACATTAATAGATATACCCTCAGAAACACACATGGAACGCACATCATAGAATTAAGGAAAAAAACTGTGTTGACATTTTCTTCTAAGACTAAATGTACTCATCAGTTTATGAAAGGATTCTTCATTAAGTGATTTCATTGCTACTAATGTCTGAATTTAAAGACAAAAGTGAATCATATAAAAGGGTCAAAATTGATTAAATATCTCACAAAAAAAGTTTACCTTTTTCATGTAAGAATTGAGAAAATGGGAATAATATTGAATTAAATGTATTGCAATAGCAGCAAAACCACAAGAACTTGTTACCTTAACAACAGTAAAACTTAACATTGCATTATGAAAATAGAGCTTTGAGCTTCTTGAGGATAAATAGCTACCTCTGGCCCATCACACCATTACTGGGAGTGTAATTCTGGGATGCTACTTCAAGGGTATTCTCTTCTATCAGAAACCTATTTGAAAGTATAAAGTAGCCCTTTAATCAAAAGCAGGGGAAAAAAGCATTTCTAAAACACTGTATGATTTTTACTGATACTACAGGTGGTTCCTGTAGCTTACTAAATGTGGTGTTCTTCCTAATTTATAAAACTGAATACATTTGCTATTTCTCTGAAAAACATTCAAGGCAAATATACTAGACACTTTTTAATAACAGCTATCTAAAATATCATATGTAAGTCTATTCCCAAGCAATTGACAAAATTATTTCCAGGAATAAGAAATAAGGAATGAGTTTCCTCTCCTCAATTTTCAATGTTGTGTTGACTGGGCTTTGGAATTCCTAGTGTCAGTAGATTTGGTTTAAGTTCCACCCTGGTCAATTACTAGATGTAAGACCCTTGCAAAGGACATGAACAGACACTTCTCAAAAGAAGACATTCAGGCAAGCCAAACATATGAAAAAAATTTCAACTGATCATTAAAGAAATGCAAATCAAAACCATAATGAGATACCATCTCATGCCAGTCAGAATGGCAATTATTAAAAAGTCAAGAAACAACAGATGCTAGTGAGGTTGCAGAGAAAAAGGAATACTTTTACACTGTTGGTGGGAATGTAAATTAGTTCAACCATTGTGGAAGACAGTGTGGTGATACCTCAAAGACCTAGAAGCAGAAATACCATTTGACCCAGCAATCCTATTACTGGGTATATACCCAAAGGAATATAAATCATTCTATTATAAAGATACATGCATGCGTATGTCCATTGCAGCACTGTTCACAATAGCAGAGACATGGAATCAACCCAAATGCCCATCAATGATAGACTGGATAAAGAAAATGTGGTACATATACACCATGGAATACTATGCAGCCATGAAAAATAATGAGATCCCATCCTTTGCAGAGACATGGATGGAGCTAGGAACTGTTATCCTCAGCAAACTAATGCAGGAACAGAAAACCAAACACTGCATGTTCTCACTTATAAATGGGAGCTGAACAATGTGAACACATGGACACATTGGGAAGAACAAAACATACTGAGGCCTGTCAGCGGGTTGAGGGGAGTGAGGGCATCAGGAAGAATAGCTAATGGATGCTGGGCTTAATACCTAGGTGATGGGTTGATCTGTGCAGCAAACCACCATGGCAGACATTTACCTATGTAACAAACCTGCACATCCTGCACAGAAGAAAATATTTTTTAAAAAAACTGTTGACTAAACTACTTAATTTATAGATTTGGAAACTGGAGCCCAAAGAGGGTAAAGTAATAACTCAAAATCACTAAACTTTTTGTTGCCAGAACAAGAGCAACATTTTGAAGCTCCTGACTCTTAGGCCTTCCCTAGTTTCCACCATATCTTTCTTTCTCAGGCTGTACTCGGAATGTAGGGGGCTGTGGATTCCATGCCAAGAAGTTGGTTTGTAAATGCAGTGAGATGCCTTGAAACTTTTTGAGGAGGGCAGGATCACAATCAAATCTGTGCTCTTAGAAATAGCTAGCACTAGATTGTGTGATGAAAAGAACGGGAAGAGCCTGAGGCTGAAAATCATAATAAGTTATCACAATGATCCAGGAAATGTCTCAACCAGCACAATGACAATAAAGGTGTGTACATATACCTACCGTTTGCTGAGTGCATACAGTGTACCAGGCATTGTGCATAATCTCATATAATCCTCACACAGCCCTCAAAGCTACATACCATATTGTCTACATCTTATACATGAAGAATCCAGGGCTTGGGAAGGTTAAGTAACCGGCCTAAGGTTACTCGGCTAGCAACCCCAGGCTGATGCTCTTATCCACTATGCTTCTCAACCTTCACAGTGGATGCATGTCACTTGGAGATATTGTTAAAATGCAGATTCTGATTTGGTGCAATCTGAGATTATGCATTTTTAACAAGCTCCCAAGTGATGCTGATACTACTGTTCCATAGAATACACTTTAAGCTGAAAAAAGTTGTGT